AACAAAGAGCCACCAGCTAAAAAGAGAAAGAAGAGGAAGAAAAAGTCTGCCGCAGCTACAGAAAATGTTGACCCATCCAAGACCCAGAAAAGCTGCACTCCTCCGGAATCTCTTTTCATGCCGGAGCCCACCCCTATTACTGCATCAGAACCTACGGAGGAGACTACCAACAAAGCCACAGAGCCTTCCACTTCAGTAGAAAAAGCTCAGCCAGTTAAAAATGCTAAAGTCCTCATCCGTGGCCTTCCTGATGATTTTAGTACAGATGAAATATCCCTTGAATTAGGGAAGCGGAACATTGAAATCCTGAAAATAGTCCAGTTTAAGAAGAAAGTGGGTGAAGCCTTTAGGCCCCTCCCCCTGTACCTCATCGTTATGCCAATGCTAGCCAATCACGAGATGATCTACCATATTGAGAGCATCAAGCAGATCCCGATCAGCATAGAGAAATACCACGGCGGCCGGCGGCCGCTGCAGTGTTTTCGATGTCAGAGTTTCGGCCACACCCAACGTTCCTGCTCCTCCAGCCCAAGATGCATGAAATGTGCCGAAGGGCACTATTCATTCCAGTGCAGAAAGAGCCGAGACTCCCCAGCTAAATGCTGCAACTGCATGCAAAACCACACCTCAAATTTCACTGGGTGCGAGGCCCGTCCCAGTCGAAAGAGAAAAACGACCAAGGACACGACTACTTCTACAGCCCACAGACTTGTTAGCCTCATCAGTGAACTTAAAGACTTGCTGAAGGACCAAGACGTACTGCATCTTCTCACAACTTTAATCCAGGGGAATTCCCCATACAACTGATGTACTACTGAATCAACTCATGCCTCACCTCATCATGGACTTATTATCTGATCCTAACTTAGAACTATGAACTGTATATGACCTCTGGACTAAATGCCAAAACAGTATAGATGAATCGGTTAGAAGCGCTTCGCGCTTAACACAGAGATTCTACTCATATCAATCAATCAATCAAAAACATTCATTGCGGTGGGAATTTTTTTTCAAAATTTTCATTTATCTGGGTGAATTAAAAAATTCTCAGATACCACAATGATTTAGTTATTTCTGACTAGATCTAGAATTAAAAGGAGCAAGTACTTTTTGATCTATCAGAGACTTTTTGAATGCTCTAACAGTAAAAAAACCCAATTAATTTCGATAATATATTATACCACCTTTTCCATAAAACCACTTCTTGCATCATTTCAATATACAAAGTCAGGACAAAACAGGTTGAAAAGTTGGCAAAAGTAAGCGAAATTCTGCAAAGGTTATAGCTTCCTACCGTTTTTTAAAGTATTTTGTTCAATCTGTAGCAGTTGGCATCTCTGTGTCATATTTGCATAACTGCCAACTTTTATACATTGGGCGTAAAATTTTACTTCTGTATTTAAAGTGGTAGTAAAATGTATGTTTTCTATATGTTTCTTGCATTTATGAACTAAATTTATAATCTTTTTGATCACCACTATTTTTTAAAAAAATTAAGTATATTTATAAATATGGAATACTGATGTTGTAGGCCACAGAAACCATCTCATAATACAACGTATGTTTCTGCCTAAATTTGTAATTTACTTTCTGTATTTACTACCACTGGGGAAAATCATTCTCGAAAGGATTAAAAGTTGGCAAGTTTAACAAATGAACTGTGTAATATGTAACCACAAACAAGTCAAATGTTCTTATTTTGTCACAAGAATCTTGAAGAATCCATAAAGGCGTGTATTTCTAAAAAAAAAAAACAGGATGTTAGCAGAAGCAGTTAATGAAAAACAAAACTGCATTTTTTAAGAACTTATAAAAAATTTTATTTATGTTCCCGAATAAAAATAAATTGTCGTTTTTTCATTCTAAAAAATAAAAATTATGTTTCCCAAAACTGAGATTGAGTACTTTTAATACTTTATTTTAGCTTTAAAGCTGAATACGTTTGGGAGTAAAACAATTTATTACTGATTCTTTATGTTTTGCTATACTGGTTTTTGGTTTTGAATATTTGACTTTTTATGGCCAAGCAAATAATTTTACTTTGACGTTCATGATATTATTTTTGCTTAATGTAGAAAAAAACATGTATTACAGATGCCTGCGATAAGTTTAAATTGAGAAAATGCAATAAGATTTCATACTCTTCTATAATGAAACTTTCTTTTTTTTTTCACCACTTTTTCGACGCCGAAAAAAATGAAGTCAACGTCGAAGTTTAATAAAACTCCGCTACCCAATGAAAGTAACAGATAAAAAAAAAAATTGAACGTACTCAAGAAATCCCCACTATGTCGTATTTTTTTCCCTTCTCTCATTTTTTTTCTTTTTTTTTTTTCCTTTTTCAACTTTCGTCAAAAAGTTCCATAAAAACTCAATAAAAGTGGAAGAATTTACGAAGTCATATTATCGGTAAAAAAATTTCGAGGAAGAATTTCAAAAAAAAAGTCATTGGACAATTCGCAATTTTTATATATATTCTTGTAAGTCCTTGAGAAGAAAGAAATGTTTTCACCTTATTAATTAAATTCCTTCTTTTCCAGTTCCAGCCAAGGTACGGGGTGGACGCACAGTGTACAACGTCACGTGGGGTGTTTCCGTGGTTCTGGAGTGCTCTGCAGAGGGGGAGCCCCCACCGGAGATCACGTGGTGGGAGAACGGAACGCCTGTAAGTACTTCCGCACTTTTAATTGGATGGTTTTTATCGCGTCCAACAACTTTTTTCTTTTCTTTTAGAATATTGCTAATAGGCTAATAAAAGTAGATTTTTTTTTTTTAACTTTCTGAATCCCATAATTCAATTTCAAAGAGCGTAAAATTAATAACATCAGCTTTATTTTCCGGAAAATTTAATTATGAGATTTATTTTGTGAAGGTATTAATTATAAAATGCATTGCATCTTACACTTAATTAAAAAATTACAACACAAGTACTATATTTTACAAGCAGAAATTACAAAAAAAATAAGATTTTTTTTTTCTAACATGATTTATGAATGTTTAGAGGCATTTGCAAAAATGTTGTCGTTTTCTGTAACATCGTTTGTTTTTATAAACTGTGGATTTAATCTATACAACATTCAAAAGAGAGAAAAAAATTTCCGGCTATCAGAGGTAGTCACTAAATTTAAGAATAAAATAACATTTGAAACATGTAGTAAATTATATGACATGTTTATTGATTTAATCAAATAATAGAAATCATTCTGCTATTTGTTTTTGTCATAGCATAAATAAATTTTAAAGCTTACACCAGTCTAAATCTAAATTAATAGTCCCACGAGTCTTGAAAAATTAATAGTGGTGTAAGTTCACGTTGATGCTAGCAGGAACTTTCTTATTGAAAAAAGTACTTCATCGATTATAATGCTTGTAAGGCAAAGGTTATATATATAACTATATATAATTGTAAATTTAATATATGATTAATAAAATTATAAGTTATAATAATTAATATCGTTAAGGTAAAAAGGTTATAAGTAAGTTATAATAATTAATATAATGAGTTATATATAATTAATGAAATTATAAGTTATAATAATTAATATAGTTAAGGTAAGGTTATAAGTAAATTATAATAATTAATACAGTAAGTTTTATATAATTAATAAAATTTAAATTATATAATAAAATTGTAAAAGTTGTTGTATTGGTGAAAGTATTGGCGAATGATTTTTTCCACTGGAAGGAAATAAGAATTACGTCAAAATGAATATTTCTAAATAAATCAGTATATGTTATTCTATTATAGTAATTTTCGATAGATGCGCCTCATAACCAATTAGAATTGGGTGCAAATAATATAAGACTGAAATAAAAAATTGTTTAGATTTGCATTTGGCGATGACTTTCGAAAATTGGCGTATACTTTTGATATTTGACTAATTTACTGACAAAAGTTTGAAATTTTTAGCACTGGTCCTGTATATGTCAATAAATTCATATATTCGCTATCACAACTCTATATTTAAGTTTTTTGGTTGATTTAAGTTCATTAATTGAATCTAATTAACTTGGTCCTTAAACTTACAATGGTAAAACTAGTATTTTTCTGCTTTTCTCCCCGTAAAAAATATTTGTGTGGAAAAAAAAAAAACAATCTCCGCCAACCAAGTAGATTCTTCGTATAGAGTCAGTAAAGTATTAAAAGAAGCTTTTGAAAATGCCTAAAAGAAAAAGAGTTAGCTTTGTAACATTATTTATTATCCACTTATTCAGTTATTTCGTGCGTTCCGTAAAATGTTTGCAAATAATTTTGTAATAACATTTTTTAAACACATTTTTTTCTTAGTAATTTTTCTATTGATTTCTACTCAATCAATCACTAATATTTACTTGCTGACATTAGATCACATAACTTGAAACCAAAATCAATATTTAACAATAATTATTTGTTTGTAATTCATGCAATAGAATTATGTTTATTTATAAGAACTAGTGTCAAATGCATAATCATTAATACTTTAGGCTCTTCAATTGATTTAGCTAATTTAGCATTTATCTATTTTTTTAAATGTATGAGAGCGCTTTTATATTTCGCTAAGAATTAAAATACTTATTTATTTTTAAAAAAAAAAATACTTCAAGATAACAGCATTTATTTTCTCCAAGTTTACTTAATTCTACTTGCTTTGATTTTTATTTAATTCATTTAGATTTTTTATATCCATATACATTAATCCGCTTAGTCTTCATATTTACAATGCGTGATAATTTACGATTTCTATTAGGGAAACCCATATTCAGTGACGTCAGTTTCCGTTCGCATTACCCTAAGCTTCTGATGTTAGAAGCGCAATACTTTTTCTAAGCAGTTTTCTCCGTTTTCCTTTTTTCTTCCCTTCCATAATGTATAAGAAGAGGAGAGCTTAAGAGATTGGTTCAGACGACAATCCGATTATGCTGACGTAAACGGGGGGTATTAGGGAGTACTTGCGCCATAGAATTAAGAGGATGTTCCAGCAATTCCATATACCACTCTACGATGTCTAGAATTTCCCCTTTTTTATATATTCGATGTATATAATATATTAAATGGTGCTTTTAACGTAGTTTAATGTAGACTATTTAATAAACATAAACTTAGTGGAAATAGAATTAGTTTTTATGTATGAGCAAATTTGATTATCATCTCAGAATGCTATTTTTTAACGTCATGATAACATCTTTATTCATGTTTCTTATAAATATATAGTGCTTATGTTATCATCGACTCGTAGGTTGTTATAAACGCCATCTACTGGATGATGTTTGTTACCTAGTTATCTAGAACCACAGACGGTGTAATGAAGTATAAAAGGTTTCTTTTTCCCACGAATTAATCCATTTAACCTTTATAGAATCGAACATACATCAAATAATAATAAACCATTCATTTGTAGGTCATAAATATGCAAATATGCATATTATAATACGGGAAACTCATCTCTCCAAAAAGCAATTATTATATTTTTATTCTAGGAAAACTAAAAAGTTTTTAATAAATAATAAAAAAAAATCGAAAAAAGAATCTTGCATGTAGATAGGTAGGTACTTTATTTACGTCACACTAGAGCTGCGCAATTGGCTATTGGTGACGGTATGGGAAACATGCCTAAGGATGATCCGAGAACATGCCATCGCAATTTTGATCCTCTGCAGAGGGGATGGCTCCTCTCATTTGGTAGCCCGATGACCTGCGTTAGAAGTCGAGCACTTTACGGTGGAACAGTTTAACGAGAACCGATACCGTGCACCTTCGGTCCCTACACAGACTGATCAAAGTGGTCATCCACCCGCTTACTGATGTGATGCTTGACTTCTGTGTTCTACTGGGAACCGTGTCTCTAAAATCAGTTCAATACTGTACAAGAATCTTGCATGTCCAACAAATCAGATATATTGAACAGTCGGATATATTGAGCGCATATGATATGTTGAAAATATATAAACATATTGCAAGCTACATTGAACATGAATGAAAGGTTGAAATGTATCAACATATTGGAAGCTATATTAAAGATCTCTTTACATTTTTGGTCTATGCAATATAAAGGGCAAATTGGAATGATAACGTATTTATATGGTAAAGTTTTTTATAATGTTATTGATATGTTACTATTTTGTAATTATTAATTTTACTTATTTATTTTTAAGTAATATTTTAATTTTCATTAGAACTAATTTTTTTCAAGTAAAATGTAGGTTCTATGGTAACGCCTGCACAGTTTAGAAAAAATCTCTTAAGATATTTTGCAAATTAGTAAAAAATATCAGCAATTACTTTTGAATTGACTTAATATTGCATACATAACAAATTTGAACACTTTTTAAAATATGCTCTTTGATAAGCCTCCTGATTGGTTCAATACAATACAAGAGCACAAACTGACTGATGGCCTGTCTTCGTACTCACTACGGTGGCCGAACGGTTAGCCATGCCTGACTCCGAAGCCAATGGCTGCGGTTTCGAATCTTGTTCAATGCATGTATGTTTCTCTGTGTGCCGTTGTGTGTTAATGTGGTCCCCCCTATTAACGGGTATCTATGACAGTGTGGCGTTCGTAATGCTGCTCGTCTCCGTGACTTTGGTCACAAGATGCTCACCAAGCACCTCAAAATGAGTAACACTTCCGACACTTGCCATGGCAAAGAAAGATAAGTTCAGTGTCTGCGGTTTAAAAATACTACTTTGCTTCCTTAGTTTTGAAAACATACCGAAAATGAATTTTGGAAATATTTTCCAGAGCTCCATCCAATCGTTCCAGAAAAAGTGAAGGTAAAAATTGTTTTCGTTATCAGGTTTTATTTTATTAATAATTTTCTCTCAAGAAGTAAAAAAAAAGTATATTTGTTTTATAAATGAATAAAAATCGCACATTAAAAAAATACAAATTAACTCTTTACCTCTCAATAAGCTAGTTTAAATTGGCTATTAATATTAATTAAATAATAAAAATTATGTGAAACTTCAATGAACTTAATATTTACCAGCCTGGTAATATAATTACAAATAATTTTATTTAGAAAAAAAAAAACATATTTAAGCTTCAAAAATCATCTAATTTTTTTACCTAGGAATATAGTTTTAAATAACTTAAGACTTAAAAAATATTTTAACCTCAACAATGTTCTTTAGTTTTGTTATCTCGTTATAATTATTTTAAATAATTAGAAGCTCCATTGATGCTTCAATAGTGTTTCCTAGTATTGATATTTTAAATAATTGAAAACTAAATACATCTGTTCCTTAACTCAAACAATGATCTTATTGTTAATCCTACAATAATATTTAAAAATTGTGAAATTCTTTTCAAAAAAAACAGTAAAATAAAAATTAATTAACAATGAAAAGGAGCCCGGGAATTTGAAGGACATTTTTTCAAGTTTTCACATTTGGTAAGATTATATAAGCCTATATACGCATTTATAAAACATTTTTTGACAAATTTAAATATACGCGGTCCATACAGGACAAAACTGTGAGTTCGTCCTGCATCATGGAAACATGAAACTGAGAAAGAAAGAGAAAGTTGGAAATCTGAAAAATGATTCTAACTTAAATCGAAATTTAAAATAAAGCTGAGAAATTTTCCATTCTTAATTTATTTTCTGCTCTATCATATTCGGAGATGAAGAATCTTCTATTTCTCCGGAAATTTCTTAAATGGGATTTGCAGAAGAGGTGGA